GTTTTGTCTCCAGGCATCTGGTCCTACTCAAGTAACACGGGTGACAGGGTGACCTCTGACCTCTGAGCTTAAATTTCAGATATTTCCCATCCGTCCTGGACTGGGAGAGAGCATTGATTTTTCCAGGCTGTTTTGCTGAACGTCAAATGTTTTGCTCCACATTCATGTGAGGCCCAGCGGCTGAATGTATAGAAAAACATTCCTGACATAATGGCACACAGAGAAGATAAATCACACCCTCCACTGAAGATGGGACCTCTTCTTCTGAGGCTCCATTATATGGAGTGTGGACCTGGAGGTGCAGTAGATGTTGGAGAACATGTTCAAACTCAGACAGCATCATCTGGTTCATATTCTTGTCTCTTATCTTACATAACTTCCTGAGGGAAGGATGGAAGTGGAGAAGGAAGGAGGTCAGATGTTTCCATCTCCATGGTGCTGGTACGTTCACTTTTACTTTCTTTAACACGGGGCCCCTAGTGGAAAGTTTTGGATCTTTGAACTCCTATCTCCTAAGCTTACTCTTAACTCTGCACACAGATGTTTATGCGTTAGCTCTTCCCTTTTGAAAAGAGCTAATACTTTGTCTTAGTTTTTGCCAAACACGTTCTTTCACCGGATATTCACAGTAACCTCTGACCTCTGTAGTAAACTTCTCGGTTGTTGTTAGTTATCACTTGTTAACATATTTGACTTTATAATATTTATTATTATATTAAAATCTTTTTTTTTTGCCAGATAATTTACTTTAACAGAGCTACTACCCCCCCTGGAGGAAACTACTGGAATCACTGCACTGTCCTTCAGCATCAGCTCATCAGATCGAAGCTGTTTCACACTGAGAATGTCAGTTTTCCTGCTGCTGAAGTCCAACTCCTGGTTCACTTTGTGGTGCTCACTAGAAGGTTTCAGGCAGTGGCATCGACGTGAGTGAGTGAACAGCTGCAGACGTGTGTCCAGCTCTGTGGGTCAGGGTGGATGGACAGAAGAAGAAGAAGAAGAAGATCTGGTGTGCATCATGAACATGTGAACGTTTGTCGAGCTCAGGTGAAACTGACAGGTAGAAGGTAACACTTGGTGCTTCTCCAGTTTCCTCCTGTGAACGCCACACTGAGCCAAAACTCAAGCCAAACCTTATGATTTATCACTTTAAGACCTCTTGGACGTTCACACTAGTGTCAGAGTTGATGAATGAGATTCACACCTGCAGCGGTTCCCAGGCCGTGTTAACGTGTCTGATCATGAACCTGGTCTTTCCTGTTAAAGTGACAGTAAATCACATAACGGTACTGCACTTTGTCTCACTTGTTGTTCAGTCCAGAGTTATGTCAACGTGATTAGACTGTGTTATCATATATTTGGTTGTTGGAGCAGGCGTGTTCAACAGACACGTCTGAGGATTAAAATGAAAGACCAGGAATCCAAGGCTAATTTCTTCTCTTTATTTGTATAAACACAGAGAACGGACACAGTCAGATGAATATTTTAAAGTACATTAGAAGACATTTGAATTCATCAGACTGAAAAAGAAACCAGCAGGATGTTTATTTTTGAATCCTGATGTTGCACATGTTTTGAGCAGTTCAAGGTCCTACAGGCCGATGTCCTCAGAAACTCTTAATGGTTCCACTGTGCTCTGACCTCTGACCTCTGAGACAAGAAAACAGCGCACAGAGATCCGTTAAACCCTTACATACATCTTACTAAAGATTGCCCAGGGCAAAACATTTGAATATAACAAAGACTTTATTTTTAATTTCAATCTTTATATTTACTCACCCCTCAATCTCAGCTGGCATGAGGCCAAAACGACTCCTGACGATCTAAACCCACTTCACACTAGTTCCTAGAGTTTGTTTTAGGTTGTTTTGTAAAGGTAAACACACAGACCTTCCCATTTGTAATCAACCGTAGTTTGGTTTGGATCCACGAGCTCTTAGAAAACATACACAGGCAGGAATGGAATGTCTGTGTTAGAGGACATTTACAAAACCTTTGGTAGGAGAAAATATTGTTAGGACAACATGACTGATGTCATCAGAAACCAACGAGAAAATTATATATTAAAACTACCATTCGTAATTTTTTTTTCTATTTGTAACCATTAAAATTACACACTGGTACGTCTGGGAAGATGCTAAACAACAATAATACATTTCTTAACACAAAATTAAACATATAGTCACACAGATCTAAATAAAAGCTCCTCGCAAGATCTCAAATTTGGACGAAGAGAAATGGACGAACTACCCTTCTTATTTTACTTGACATATCCTATTAAAAACACAGGAAATTATTGATTACAAGTTACTTTCCCCCTGTGGTAAATATTCGAATAAATTAAAACTGCTGATCTATTTAAATTGTTTATAGTGTAAAGTTTTTTATACTCTTCCTCAACGTAGAGCTAATGTTTTAGCCTCTTTCCAACAGAAACAGAGAAACGGAGCTATCGCGCCGCTGCTACTTGTTTTCACCTCAGACCAGACCATGTTGACACACGGGGGGACACGGTGGGACACGGGGTGATTCAGCAGCCGTCCACACGGTGTCTGGTACTTATATGGTCATAAAAATCCTTAGTATGCACATACCTCTGCCATTAAACACAGCACTATCTGCAACCCTCTCCCTCCGTCCTCTACTCTTTCAAGTTCCGCTGTTGGTCCCGCCCAATCGCACTCGCTCTTCGGTGTAAGCTGTTACGCGATTGGTCCAAAGTATGTGTCAGCTCGAAACAGGGCAGCCGTTGGTCGGAGGGGCGGATACAAGACGACCCGGGTCCGCCTCGGAGCGGACCGCACCCCGGCGCCTGCTGTCTACGTACTGAGTGAAATTACGCGACCCAGTGAGCAGCCAGTGGAAGAGGGAGGGCTGAAGGAAGAGGGTGAGAAAAAAAAAACCGGACTGAGAGAGTGGAGCAGAGAAAGACGGGGAGGAAGCTGTAGTTTAGCCTGAACTCTCCGCGAAGCTGCTGTCGACACGAAAAGAAGTTTGACTCCCGGCGACGCTGACTGAGGCACTCGGTTGTTGTTAGCCACCTACTGCATCCTACAAGGAGGTAAAACTGCTCATCTGAACACTTTGTCTTCAATCATGTCGCTTTTGTCTCTCTGCTCACTCTTTCATTCACTCCAGCAAGTGCAGTGAACCAGGAAGCAGCGCGGTTGCTAGTTGAAGCCGCTCGGGGTGGAGCGGGACTTCCCAAACAGAATTAACCCGGGCTTTTACTCTGACAAGTCCTTTATTGTTTGAACATTTCAAATAAAGACAACAAGGTGGGATAAACGGGAAGAAGGTGGCGGTAAATGTTGTAACATCGCCGTGGCAGTTGTCGAGAAGCTAAAAACCACAACTGTTGAGGCAGGAAGTGATTCGCTTGAATGACTAGCAGTCGGAGAGGAGGAGAGGAGAGGGGAGGCCGGGGAGGAGAGGGGAGGCCGGGGGCCGGTGAGGAGTTTGAGCCCAAGTGCGCAGGAAGTAACTCGACGAGCGGGTCTGGAATTCACGGACACTGTAGACCGTGTCATTAGTTTGTGGTTGAACTTTTACGTTGTGTAACGGCCAAACTCAAACAACGTGTGTGGTCGGTAACATGACGTGACATGACGTCACTTGTTTAACTGTGGACCAAATTAAAAAGAAAAGAAACAGCCGTGGCCAGTTTACTCTCACCCCCGTGTCATTCAAACGTTTGTTCCCTGGTCCGTGTAGAGTGAAAAGTGCATGTGATTGTGGTTTGGTTCATTACAGGTGAAGCCTGGGATTTTATACCCTGATGTTCTTGATCAAATATGGAGGTTCTTATTAGTGATGTCATGGTTCGTCACCACCATGTGGTTCACTGATTCACTGCAGGTGTACGGTGGAGTTTTCTTTGCTGTGCGGTGCTGCCCTCTGTCTGGGTTTTTATTTTTTATGCATGTTTTCAGAATGTTTCCTGTTGGAAATATTTGAAAATAAATCCGACCCAGTAGGGGGTGCTAGCGCAGTTCAGTCGCTCTTTGCAATGTACAGAAGAATTAAAGACTGGTAGTGAGGTCATATCGACCGCCAGCTTTGAAGGACGCCTAAAATATCAGTGTGAATAAAACCTTATTTCAGTACAATTTTCGCCCATGCTGATTTTTTTACACCTCTTTTTAAAAACTGAGTAACTCTATAATATATATATATATATAATAATATAACTCTAATTTTTTAGCTGCAGTATTTTCTCCCAAAAGTCCATACATTTCTGCATTCCCTACTTTTCCCCTTTGACACCGTGTCACATGTCACAAATGTTCAAATCTTTATCTTTGATCTGCATTCATGCTCTTTTCATCATGGTCACCAACAAGGATGATGTTGTACACAGGGGGCGCTGATCTTTGTAGTTCTTACTGCCCCCCCCAGTCGCCCCTTGGCTGAAACAAAGTCATTTGTTATTGTCACAGCTGTACAATAGCATCCAGACACTTTTGTTCTCCTGACGTTGTCCAGTGGACGACACCGTCGGAGACGAGGGAAATACATGACGTTTTTGGTTGAATGTGTTTTAAAATAAGGTGTTTTGATCTTCATCTCTGTTGACGACAAACTGTTCTAATCACTGTGTCTTAAGGCGGAACAAAGGCCCAGACACCAGTTAGAGTTCCGTCCTCTGTCGTTGGTTAAATGCCAGCTGTAAATGATCAGGTTTGCCTTCTACTTAGAGCGCGGTTCACTATGATTAATATTAACTTGGCAGCTAGAGTTTTCCACTGCTTTACACATTTTATTGGCTTTATGGATATACAGCTGAGTTAAGAACATTTGACAACGATAAAACACACACAACTCCATTCAAGGCTCCAGCCAGGCCACGAATACTGCAGTGACTATTTGAAGGAGGATGGCAGTAAATATTTTGCAAAGAGAGAAGTTCTCCATTTTGTACTTTTTGTAATGATTTATTTTAAAACGGAAAATGATGCACGACTCACCAACATGCATGTTGCTAAAACACAGCCCACCAAGACTCTGCTGCAGACACCGTCCCAGACTGTGGAGCGTCACGTCTACTGAGGTCAGACCTGACGGTGTCATGGCACATGTGCCACCTAGGTGGCGTGTTTCTGATTGTATAAGTGAATTAGCAGTATACACACGTACTAACTTCACCACCTGAATCCTGCTCTACACTGTGCACTGTGTTAGTGAACGCTGCACCTTGGTGTGTGTGTGTGTTTTTGTACATATTGTAATCAGGGCTGAACACATCTGTTTCCTGCCAAGAAGTCATTAAATCAGTGTGAGTCTACCACAGGACAGAGGGCCTTTGATACACACGCATAAAAATGATGTGTGTGTGTGTGTTACATAAAAAAAGCCTAACCCTGACCTAAAAGGCTTTCTAAAGACCCTGACCTTGGTCCAGGTCTTGATTAGTTCCAGTTATTTTCTTTGTGAACGACACACACATCTGCAGAGAAAGACAATAGGTGACACGTGTACCATGTCATTTCCTGTTACTGTGTTTGACTCATCCTGTTAAAATGGGTCCGTGCAGTAGATTGTGTAATAAGTTCTCTGCAGGGTGGGGGTGGTGGTGGTGGGGGTGCAGTTCCCTGCCCTGATTGCCCATTTCAGTGAAGTTATGGAGCCCCCTACAGAGATTGTTGCATTCCATCGTCCATGTATCAGCAGCGTCCACATGCAGGGCCCCCCAGGAGAGTTATGTACTGCAGGATAAACAGAAGTCAAAGATTTATAAAAAGGGGGGGGTGAAAAATATTTGGTCTGAGACAAAGTCCCTGTGGATGTTTGGATATTATTGAAGGATGTTTGTTCCACAATAGTGCCCCCCCCCCACCTCCTCTCATGACAGATGAGTGGGCAGAGGGACACGCCCCCCCCACCGTAACCCCCAGCTTCTCCTCCTGTGAAATGTCAGGTTTCATTTAACCACAGTCTCCACTCTTTTATCTGCTTCTTCGTGATCTCACTGCATTCTTTGGTCCAATTAGCTTTTTAACAACGGGGCAACATTCACGCTAACAGCTAACACGCTAACACTCTGGGCTGTGTTCAGATACAGTTGGTTGATTTATTACGAGTTGATCTCTTTTACCACACTTGTTGTCAGTCTGAAGATCACAAAGTTATTGAATAACAACGAACGTCGTAAAAACTGACAAAGCCTAATATGGTGAAGTAGAGACAGAGACAGAATCAGAGAAAGAGTCAGAGACAGAGTCAGAGTCAGAGACAGAATCAGAGTCAGAGACAGAGTCAGAATCAGAGACGGAGACAGAGTCAGAATCAGAGACAGAATCAGAGACAGAGTCAGAGACAGAGACAGAGACAGAGGCGTGGAAGTATGTTCTCTGACGAAGACTGACTTTGTCTTTACTGGACAGATACACAGTTTCTCAATCTGCACTCGTTGTCAGTGGCTGACTGTCAGTCTTTGGTTGTCAGTGGCTGACTGTCTTTGGTTGTCAGTGGTTGTCAGTCATTTGTTGTCAGTCTTTGGTCTTTGGTTGCAGCAGTCTTCCGTTCAGACAGTCTCTCTCTCTCTCTCTCTCTCTAACCTTCAGCTCTCTTCTCTCACAGAACATCTGTTCTATTCTGGTCTGACCCAAACATATTTCTTGTGGCTTCAGATGAACAGTATAATGACAGCACTGAGTGTCTGGGCTTCAGATGAATCGGTACCAGTGACTGCATTGGTTTTCTCTTTCCTTTCTCTGCTCTTCATTTCAGTCTTCTCATTGGCCCTCTCCTACCAATCGCTCTGTCTCTATTGTTCCACTTCATTTCCTCTCTGCTGTCCCCCCCCCCCCCCCCCCCCCCCCCCCCCACTGGGTCCAGAACAACAGGACAATACGAGGAAGTGGTTGACCTGGACCATTTACAGAGACGGTCACTGTTGTTTTTATCTAGAAGGACAAACCTTGTCTACGTGTGTGTGTGTGTGTGTGTGTGTGTGTGTGTGTGTGAGAGCTGCACACCTGTGGTTGAACTGCTCAGCTGTAGCTGAGAGGAGGTTGTGTAACACTTGAGTTTGTGATGTGAACTTTGAACTGTTCCAACTGTTGGTTTTTCTTTGGACCGCTTCACTACGGAGTGTGAAAGTCTCGTTCTGTTTGTCTGACTGAGTTGAAGGGAGTGTCCCAGGTACAGACGAGAGGTGATCCAGCTGAAACCCCCCAGGGGTAAATGGTGGGGGTGGGTGGCATGTACAGGAAGACAGATGGAGGAGTAGACGCAGAGTTTAGGAAGTTGGCGTCGGCAACTTTTCTGTTGAAGGATTATATAACGGTCTGTGTCTAACGGTCACTACGGTTGGAAGGTTGTAGTGAGAGCAAACAGGCGGCGTTTATAACTGTAGTATAAACAGATAGCTGTTGGACAGGAATGTGTTCTGTGACCCTGAGAATGATAAGTGTTCTCCAGGCCAACACCCATGTCAGCTCCAGAGGGTTAGACCAAACCGTTCTACAAACACCGACGTTTCACGTCCACCGCTCCACTTAAGAATAAGAAGCAGTTGTTGAAGCACATGTGTGAGCCACAGCCACGGGTTAGAATTTCACTGAGTAAAGAAGGTGCTGATACCAGGAGCTGCCACCCTAATGGTTAGTGACTCTGGAACAGAGGGATCCACATTTGGAATCACTAGAGAAGAAAGAAAAGAACAAGAACATGAACCAACACCAGGAATATTGGAAAAAATCAAGAACTGATCAATGCCCGATCAATGACTGAGGAGATTGATCTGGGATCAGGAGATACTTCAGTGGAACTGTTTGAATTTGTCATAAATGTTAAATGAAGCGTCACATCAGATGTAGGTCAGAGGTGGGAGCCCAGGGCTTCAGTGGTTGGAGTTCTCCTCAGATGGCACTGGGCAGCTCGCACTTCAAACTGGTTCCAGGAGGAATGTCAACCTGATTGTGGAAAGTGATGTACATCTGGTATTTTCCACCCAAGTTGAATTCACTTCTCACTCACTCCTCGGAGCTGCGCCGCATGTGCTCAAGGAAACGCCACAATCCCTCCTCCTTAAAGGCCCAGCACACAACAAGTTCCACAAATGGCAAAATAGTTTTCTCAGTTTGTCATTTCCTCCTTCCTCCCCGCTCTGTTCCCTGCCCCACCCTTCCTACTTTCACAGAAGTAGGGAGTAAGGGAGTAACGCTGGTGCCGAGAGACTTCTGACTGACCCACAACCAGTCTAGTCTCTGACCCACAACTGAGGCCCAGTCTGAGGAGGCCCAGTCTGAGGAGGCCCAGTCAGAGGAGGTCCCTGTGGTGGAGTCTGACTGACGGACGACTAGAGTCTAATAAAGCTCTATAGTTGATCTGCCTTTTAAACAGGTCCACTGTCACTGTAGACTCAGAGCTCATCCTTGTTTCTCCTCCTCCTCCTTCTTCTTCCTCCTCCTTCTTCTTCCTCCTCCTTCTTCTTTCTCCTCCTTCTTCTTCCTCCACTCTGTTCTCAGTCCTGGCCTCTGCTTCACTTCCTCTGTTCTAACCACCCTTTGTCCAGAGGCTGGTTTCCAAAAACTAGTCTTTGTTCTGGTGCCTGGTGTTGTTTATGGTAGTGTTCCTCTTCCTCTTACAAAGCTGCTGCTGCTGCTGCTGCTGCTGCTGCTGGCACTGGGGGTGGTGTTGCTGGTGAGGCTGTG